AGAATATCCTTTTTGGCTTTTGCATTGTGTGCGTGTCCCATCCTCCCCCTCTTTTTCTTTCTTGATGTCATGTACAAGATTGAGTGGGATGAGAGAAGGTGGTGTCACAGCTCATATGGGGACAGGAGATGGGGCAGGGGTCAGCAACACCAAGTCCAGGAGTTGCATGCTCCAATGTTTTGCTGAAATTCAGGTTCTCTCAAAATAGTCTTGTTTGTCTTTTTATCATTAACCAAAGTCAATAGTTCATAGCTTTGACTCTGCTTTTGCGTGCCAAAAGTGAATGGGAACCTATGTGAGCAGATGGCTCTGCTCTGGCAGGTTGGCTGTTTGGAAGGGAAACATGGAATTGGAGACTTATAAAGTGTGACCACAAGGGAAAGCTAAGGAAATTGGGAAATTGGGATTATTTCCTGTAGAAAAGAGAGGATACTGTGAGCCTCTGTGTTAAAGGATTATTGTGATGTGCAAGAAAGTGTCAGAAGGAGGATTATGATTGGTTTGTTCTCTGACAGCTCAGGAGGGCTTAAGCTGCATGGAGAGAGATGTAGGACAGACTGCAGGAAGATGCTTCTGACTGCTCTGGCACCACACCTGGAGACAGAGATTTCAAGAACAGGCTGCAGGGGCTTTCTGAAGGCTGCCTAGGGGATGTGTGATCCCACACCAGCTTTGGGGAGGGTTCAGAGGACCTGCTGAATTCCTTTCCATCCTGTAAGTGATTGCGGGTGTCCGAGCAAAGGCTCCCAGGTGATGAATCGAATGAGCCTTTCCCTCCCCAGGGCTGAGGTCTGCCTCTTGAGTCTTTTACCCTTCTGGGTCTCCTGGTAAGCATGCAGACACCAGCCTAACAGTCCTGGCTGACCCATTGCTGGTGTTGTAGTTTGTCCCAAACAGTGACGTAGGTGTTGCAGGAAAACCCTGGGATTGGGTGAGTGCTCCAAAGACAAGCTCCACAGATATGCCACTTCTGTCCCTGTGCTTTGCATGTACTGCCTCACAGCTGGATTCTGTAGTTTGTTTGAAGTAACGTATTTCTTTTTGTGTATCTTAGCACAGCAAGTGCCTTATCGCCTTCCTCCCTATGCTGAGTTTGGTTCCTCTGCTCCGCAAGTGCAGACTGCACTAGCTCCTCATCCAGCTAATGTGTGGGCATCCACTCGGGGAGGAGGAGGTGTGCCTGGCATTTTGTGGCACAAAGAGTTTGGCTGGGGGAAAGTGCTCACAGGCTTTTCCCTGCCAGGAGGGCTCGTTCTGGGAGCTGGGCTTTGTTTTCTGCACCACTAGAGGGAAACCTCAGCCTTTGCATGGAAATGGAGGCGCTGCAGCTGCAGGATGCTGGAACAGCATGAAGACATACGGGTAATACATACATGGATGGTTGCTGGCTGCATGGCACAGGCAGTCTTGCTGTTGGAATAAAGTAAAGATTGTCGTAAGAAAATCTGTCAGTGTTGGGAGCCAAACAGTCAGGAAACAGTCCTGTGGGAGCCCCCACAAAGCGTCACAGTTCAGCTGTGTACACAACTCCTTTTCTCCTCCCCTCCTTAAGTATGGAACAAAATGAGTCATTAGGAAGTGTAGGGTCCTTCGTTATCCAGAAATATCTGTGAATTCTGCCAGCAGCTTGGACAGAGGACTCTAAGTGTCATTAAAAGGGAAACCACGGTTTCAATCCAGCATTTGAGGCTGAGGGAGGTGATGCCTCAATAGCTGCTTGAATTTGGATCTCTGATGGGTGCAAGCTTTTCCAAAATTAATGACTTTGTCGTAAGCTGTGTTCTAATTTGAAAGCCTGTTTTTTTTTTTTTCTAATAACTTTTGTCATGCACAGTGCCCAGGGTAGGACTTGTGCTGGTATTCAGTTGAAAGCATCGCTTTAGCAGTGTTCTAGCTGCTAATGGATTTCTCTTAGTTAAGCAGAGGCTGGTTGTGCACTGCAGACGATGTCCCGTTATTTGGGGGTAGCTGGCGCCGGAGCTGTCAGGATGTCAGAGTGGGACTCGTGTAAGCAAAGTGTGGGTAACAGATCCGTTGCGTTCCATTTTAAGAGTGACCTTTAGCTTGCTGGAGGCTGCAAAATGCAGCCGTGCCCGCGGGAGGCTTTTCCTCCAGGGCCACGCAGATCTGCTGGGCTGGCAAAAACGCTGTGCAGCGCATCGGTGTGCGTGAGCCGGTGCTGAGCTGCGGACGGAGGGCAGGCGGACGGACGGCGCCGGCGGTGATAGCACAGAATGGTGAAGGGCTGTGCCTGGAGGGAGCACAAGGTGCAGAAGGAGGCAGAAATCACCTTTTGCTGAGTGCTGGGAGAGCAGCGTGGGGTCGTGTGTTCTTCGTGACATTGATCCTCCACGGCAAGTGCAGAGAAACATCTTCAGTTACAGGAGCCGTGTTCAGCTCAACGTTCAAGGAGCTATTTTTGGGTGCTCGGCAACTCTGCTGAGCTTCTGTCCAGTAGGTGTGCCATTGCTGGTGTCAAGACTGATACATTTTTTAAAAAATTATTCTTTTTCTTTTGTATTTAATCGTAGTTTACTTCTTAAATGCATTTATTTGAAGAAAGAACATGGAAGCTGGTCCTCTGCCTCTGCTGACTGTGCCAACAGCTCCTTACAATGATCAGAAACCAGGAACCAGCGGATTGCGGAAGAAGACCTATTATTTTGAATCCAAAATGAACTATTTGCAGAACTTTATCCAGAGTATATTTTTTTCCATAGACCTCAGAGATCGACAAGGATCTTCTATGGTAGTTGGAGGTGATGGAAGGTACCTTAATAAGGCTGCAGTGGAACTGATAGTCCAAATGGCTGCTGCCAACGGGGTTGGTAAATGCTAGATGACTAAATTCCTATGGTTGTATAGCTGATAAATGCAGGAAACCAAAACAAACTAGGCAGTGGGGGATTGAATTTTCCCATAGATTTTACTCAATTGCTAACAGAAAACATTTCAATGGAAAATCGTACTGAAATTACTGTTAATTACTGTTAAAAGAAAGCTAGCACTGGGTGGAAACCTGTACAGCGATTTCTGGTTGTGTGGGAAGCAGGTGAGCCAGGGCTGTTTGCAGCAGAGCATGGCTCAAGCACCGCAGTGCTCTTGGGCACTGGGACTATATCTGTGTTTCCTGTTGCTTTTGAAGAAGAAAAGGCTTTGCTGTCTGTTCTGTGTTTCCTAATGCAGAGCAAAACTTTACACTAAGAGATCTGGCTTATGGGAATGTGTTTGACAGGAAAGCTTATCCGATCACAACAGGGTGATTTGTAATAAGCAATTGAATAAGAAGAGAGAGAGATATATTTTTCTAAATCAAAATGTTTTCCAGCTGGAAAAGAAAAATCCTCTGGCATTGCAAATTAATGTGTTCCTCTTAAGTCAGTGTATGGGCTGAGTCAAAGAGCTGGAAGACGTGCACAAAGCAAGAGCCAGGCCTGCTGCCTGGGCTTCTCCACACCAGGACAGGTTTCCTGTTGGTGAAGATGAAATTAAGCTGATCTGCATCAGCTGAGACTTCTCTGTTGCATTTCTTTCCAGCATTGTGTCCCGTGCCTGGCTGAAAACAAGTTTTGCTGTTGAGTTTGGTATTTTTTGTTAGTTATTTTTAAGTAGTCTGGCTAAAGCGTGTGACTTTGTTAATCAGTTCTGTGCTAATCTTGCTCTGTAGAGTAGGAGGGATGAGTCTGAGGATGTGTTCCACTATAAAAAGCCACAAGGGAGGGCATGCATGTCGTAGTTTGGATGTGCAGAAGTGTCTGTCGGCATGTGGCAGAGACAGGTGCTGTCACCTCTGCAGCTGTGGGATCAGCAGGATTTCCGAGCAGCACTGAGCGCGCTCCCTGTACCAAGTGTGGAAAGCATGGTTTTGGGGGTGAAGAACATCAGGAGCATCAGTCTGTGTCATTGGGGTGTGGAGGGGACCCGTGGGAGGCCCTTGCTGCTGAAACAAAGCATGAAGCAACGAGAAAGCCAAACCCACGTAGATCAGGCTGCTACAAATTCGACGTATGGCACAATGCATCCTGTGATCTAGGTAGTTGGCACTGTAAGGGCAGCAATACCCTGACCAGCTGGTAGAAGGGCTCTCACGCCTCACACTGGGTTTCTAAGCTGCTGTTTCAGGTCTGTGCCCATGGCTTGCTGGAGACTGGACGTCTCAGCTTCCTACTTGCCTGGCAGCTGTGGGGCTTAGCGCCCAGCAGTGCCACAGCCAGGAATGGCAGCCATCCCACAGAGCCAGCTTAGCACCGCATGGGGGATTCAGGCTGGGCAGGCTGGCTTTTGTCTTCTGGTTCCTCTTGCCTTTGAATGAAATTCCTCCTCTTTTCTCAGCTGTATTCACAGTCTAATCTCCTTGGCTGATGGAGAGTGGTCTGGTGTATTTTTAAATCTCTATCACCTCATTTGGGGGCTATGGTGAGGGGCATGTTCTCCTAGAAAAACATTTATCTTCAGTTTTACTACGTGGACCCCAGCAACTGAATCTTGATTACCTTGTGCTGCTTAGCACGTTGCTCTGGATTTAATCTCAGTGATATTACCAAATTTATGGGAGGGAGGTGCGTTACCCGCTGAGAGTAAGAGAATCTGCATGTGGTCCCATGGGAGCAGTGATGATGATCGACTTTTGTTTTGCTTTGGCTTCTCTCAGTCCCATTGTGTCTTTTGAAAGCAGTGTTGGAGACCACAGGCAAAGGTTTTTTTTTTGTTTCGTTTAGATGCCTCTGGAAAGCTCTGCTCTTCAGTGCAGGATGCCATTTCCAGTGCTCATAAACGAGAATGCTAAAAAGGCATGACAGAGCAGGGTCAGATGCTGATCTTCTAGTTACATAGCAGAGAGCTTGCAGCCTCTCAGGTTCAAAATGTTTGCTTCAGGACCTCTGCCATCCAGGTGCCCCTGATGAGGCCCTGCTTCACCTGTTGGTGTTGGGGTGTTTGGTGCTTTGGCTGTATTCAGAATTTGAGTCTCAAAGTAGTTTGTTCTGCCCTTTGACTTTCAGATTGGCCGTTTGGTCATCGGGCAGCACGGCATTCTCTCCACCCCAGCAGTGTCCTGCATCATCAGGAAAATCAAAGCCATCGGTGGCATCATTCTGACAGCAAGCCACAATCCTGGTGGGCCCAATGGAGATTTTGGGATTAAATTCAATACGGCCAATGGAGGTAAAGTTGCTTAGTTGATTCTGGTTTGCTTTGTTTCTGCTTGACTTGCCTTGTGTTGGCAACAAAGAACCCAATTTAATTGTTTTAACATCACAGAAATTCAGTGAGTGGCCTGAGCAGTGGGTTTCCCTGAACGTGGAATTGGTGTGGTTAAAGGTGGCAGGGACCTCTAGCTCCATCTGGTCCAACCCCTGCTCCAGCAGTGACACCTAGAGCAGCTTGCTTGAGACCACATCCACAGTGATCAATTTGCTCACTGTTATTTTCTCCCAGCGAGGCATTCCGAGCCCCAGGCCTGCTGATCTACCTCTGCATTGCTCTTTCCTCACGCTCTGTTTCTTTAACTTCTTCCCCTCGCCCATTATATCTTGTAGGTCCTGCTCCAGAAGGAATCACAGACAAAATTTTCCAAATTAGCAAAAAAATTGAAGAGTATGCAATCTGCCCGGATCTCAAGGTGGACCTGGGTACCATTGGAAAACAGCAGTTTGATTTGGAGAACAAATTTAAACCCTTTACAGGTAAATGACTGCTCTTCCCCTTCAGAAGTTTCCTTTCAGGTGAAGCTGGCATGGGCCTCCGTAGGACAGGGACGCTTGGTGCTTTGAAGGGCATGTGGTCTTGACCTTCCCTTCTCATCTATTGGATAATCCAAGCAAGAATATCTGTCCTGGTCATCATGGATTTATTTATTTTATTTTTTGCCTTCATCTCACCTTGTCTAGATATTTTAATTGTATTGTTTCTGTTCACTCGTCCCATTAGTTGCAAAGGTGCAAATTTTAAGGCTGTCAGGTGCACAATTCATGCTGACGTTGGTGGAGATTGGAAGTCTGTTTTTATATGCATTTTTGTTCCCTCTAATCCCACTCTACACATAACTGGAGTGGAATGGAAACTTCTCAAAGGGTATCTGGGGAGCTGAGGCTGTGACTAGCAGAGAACTGGGGAAGATGTTTGTCTTCGGGATTTTGTTGGTCTGTTTGGTCTGTAATCCCATTAGCAGTGGCAGCCCATAACCAAATGTTTCTTAATACAGGAATATTATCATCATCTTTGTGAAATGATTCTATGGGATGTTTAAAGGCTCTGTGCTGAGCCCTGGCCCTTTGCACTGAGGACTGTCAGCACAGTGGCTCATGTACAGAAATTGCTTTTCTGCATAGAGTTCAGATTGTCAGAGTTATTTTCTCTCTGTTTTTTTTTTGTTTTTTTTCCCAGTGGAAATTGTGGATTCTGTAGAAGCTTATGCAAGTATGCTGAGGAACATCTTTGACTTCAATGCATTAAAGGAACTGCTTTCGGGGAAAAACCACCTCAAGATTCGCATTGATGCAATGCATGGAGGTATGGGTGGGCTTGGCTCTGCTGGTCTGTAGGGTTCTGCCTCCTACTTCCCAGAGAAGGCTTTTCCTCACTTTTTTGTTACTGATGTTTGAGAGCAATAAGTCCTGCTGTGCTGCTGGATTGCTGTGAATCAGACATGCAGTTTGTCTTCTTGTCATTCTGATACCTCAGTGTACTTGAGGTGTCCTTTACCCTGTGCTTGATTCCTTCCTTCCCACGTTTTCCTATGGCAGTTGTGGGCCCTTATGTGAAGAAGATCCTTTGTGAGGAGCTGGGAGCACCAGCAAACTCTGCTGTGAACTGCACCCCGCTGGAGGACTTCGGTGGCCACCATCCCGACCCCAACCTGACCTACGCTGCTGATCTGGTCCAGACCATGAAGACAGGAGAGTACGACTTTGGAGCTGCCTTTGATGGAGATGGGGTAAATAGGCTGCTCTGTGTTAATCTTTTTGCCCCTGATGGAGAAGGGAGGATGTTGGCTGAGGAGGAGGGATGTGAAGGCTTTTTTCTCCTCTCCCTTCTTAGCTGCACATGGATGAGAACCACTTGATGCAGATCACAACTCTTGGCAGTAGTTGACTAATGTGTAAATAGCGAAGTCCAAACTGTATTTAAATGGCTCTAAAGGTTATGCTTCTCTTGCCTTCGTCAGGACCGCAACATGATTCTTGGCAAGCACGGCTTCTTTGTGAACCCCTCTGACTCCGTTGCTGTCATCGCTGCCAACATTCTCAGTATCCCTTACTTCCAGCAGACCGGGGTCCGTGGCTTTGCCCGCAGCATGCCCACCAGCGGGGCTCTCGACAGGTAGCACCTACCTCTGCACAGTGCCCTCACAAGGCAGCAGCTGTCCTTCTTCTGTGTCTGACACGTGTCCATAGTGGGGAGAGTTCTGGGGTCACTGAAACGTAATGCATTAAATTCAGTTTGAGGGCATGGCAGAGCTGGGTTCTGCTCTTGGCTCTCTTCTGTCTGTATGGATGTGGTCCACCCCCTCTCCCCTCCCCACTTTGTGTTTTTTAAATTTTAATTTTAATCTGATAATCTATTTGTGAAATGCTTTGACGTCTACAACTGCAAATCAGTTTAGAAGAGCTGTATATACATATATACATTTATCTTTAGTTGTTCTTCCCAACAACCTCCCAAAAGGTAACACCAGGATAAAATGCTGCATTGCTGTACAAAGAGCAACTCTTAATAAAGCAGAGACACAATCTGCTTTTAGTGTTACCCCTCAGGAGATGTGTGGTAACTGCTGGGGCTCCTGCTGCAGTGTTTCACATGGGTGCACTAAGCCCAGCTGTGTGTGACGTAGCCTTCTTGCCTTCTAAGGGTGGCCCACGCGACAAAGATTGCTTTGTATGAGACTCCTACTGGCTGGAAGTTCTTTGGAAACTTGATGGATGCAAACAAACTGTCTCTGTGTGGAGAGGAAAGTTTTGGTACTGGTAAGTGGGTGTTCCTCATCTCGCTAACGGAGGCATTAGTCCTCTTCGTAGTTCTTTACTGTGCTGGCCTACTTGGGGTTTATCTTTCACGTGAGGTTAATACTTCTAAAATCATTTAACAAAAAAGCTTACAAGCATCCCTAGTGAAAGCATACACAGTGCTCAGAGTTCTGTCAGGCAAAAGAATCCCTGGTGAAAGCATACACAGTGCTCAGAGTTCTGTCAGGTAAAAGCTCGTTCTCTTTCCAGAATGCATAAGGAGATATGCAGGAAGTCTAAGGGCCTCTTTACTAGCCCGGTCATTGAGTCTATGGGGATTAAGTGCAGCGTTAAATGTATTTTTCAACTCTTGGTGGCCAGGAAAACCTTCTAAATGTTTTCATTTCTGGAAAGAAATATGGTTTGGAGCATGCAGTTTTATTAGGGGAGGTTTCAGGTCACTATTAAATCTCCGAGCTTAATAGGGCCCTCATTTTCCTGTTCTAAAAACAAGGTATGATTTATAAAGTTTAAATTAACACTTGCCTTTGAACAGTCGGAGCGAGTTATTGGGTTACTGAGAAACAAAGCGAGCATCTTTAGGAATTTACCAGGGGTGCAGTGTGATGCATGGCTGCTATTGGTGCAGGCTCTGCACCGTGCCTACAACGTGTGGTGCTGTGTGGCTGCTAGGCTGCAGCCTGGTTGCCTCGTGGCGTCTGCCCACCGTGCCACTGTTCTGGGCTTTGTCTGGCCTGGGTTGTCCTTAAGATCTTGTTCTTCCATTGTGTGTAGTGCTCAGGGGCAGCCAGAGGTGCAGGGCTTGGAGAGATCATATTTTAGCCTGCTTTAAGGTGTTTCATGGAGCAGGAGTGGCTTCAGATACCAGACATGAAGTGCTTTGTGGATCTCTGTCACAAAGTGTTACCACCTGAGCTTTTTGGTAGCTGGGGACATGGCACTGCAGACTAGCTGAAAGCTGGTTGCCGTGAGGCTGAAGAAGTCACTGGGGCAGAACTTTTGCAGGCAGATGCTATTCTAATAAACAGAACTAGGCCTCAGTCTGGAAGGAAAGGGGAATTTTGGATAACTTTGGTATCTCTGTAAAGATAACTTGAGGGTAATTGTGAGCATAGGAGGATTCTGGAGTTTAGCCCTGAATGATTTCAGCATGTGTTAAGTTTATGTCGCGGCCTTTAGCTGATGAGAGTGGCTCAGCATTTAGAAAATACAAACAACAGCAGCAAATGATTCATGGAGCTGCTGATAGGAGCTGGGCTCTAACGAGCAACTCTCTGAAATTGCTTCCATCTTCTGTCGCATGTGCAGTGAGCTCATGGTTTCCCTCCAGCCTATGATAGGTAGGTGACTACATTGCCAATAAAAGTGACTGAAACCACTTGCAGTGGGGCTGAGAGGGAGGCTCGATGTTTTGGCTGTGCTGCATCACACCAGGGCTGCACGCTGGGGTTGTTGTTGGGGGAACACTGGGAAAGGGCCGGGGCAGCCTGTGCTGGGCTCCCTGCAATGCAGAGGGCGTTTGTCTGTCTGGCAGAGGCCCTTTAAAGAATGAAATGGAGTGAGGGAGGTTGTTCGATAGCAATTTAATGAGGAGTTGTTTGGAGTCTGACAGTGTGAGTGCTGAATGGGAGCAAAGTGAAGGAGCAGCCAAAGAGACCCAGTAAAAATTGAAACAAACTGCGACCCGGCGGGACCAGGGTCCAGCAGCAATTAGAGTAATGCGACGTGACAGAATTCCTGCTTGTTTTCTGGGGTGTTTTATTCCAGCAATAAGTTGATACATCACATGGGACTCCTGTTTATTTAGCATTCCTCTCCATCACCTCTGCGCAGCTCTCAGCTGTGTGGGGCTGTGAGGATGATTTACCACCACATCCACAATGTGGGGTTTGTGTCTCGCACCTCGTGGCCCCAGCTGATTTTCTGGGGGGTGAAATGGTGGCTCTGGCCAACTCCCCCCATTGGCAGGTGTGCCCTGGCTCCTTGGGGTTTTGGTAATACTAGCCTGCGTGTTTTCCAGAGCCCAAAGGATAAAACCCAGAAGCTGTGCATTGAGCCTAGCGCTGAGCTAACCAGTCAGGAAGATGGAGGCTGGGTTGGGTCTGCTCTGGCTGCTGTTGGATCCCACATTTAACTCTGGTATTTGAGGCTGGGATGAATCGATCTCCTTGTGTGAATGAAGTCCTCGCGCTGCTGCCCCTGTGGCTGCTGTGCTCCCCAGCACCCTGCAGTCTTGGAGCCCTTAGGGTTTGGCTTCCTCAGCGAGGGCTGGCATTTCTCTTGGTGCTCAGCCACCGCCTGCACCATCAGGGTGTACTGATTTGGCACAGTGTGTGACAGCTGCTCAGAGAGGCTGATGGTAGCTCTTGAGCTGCTCCTTTGCATTTGCTTATTTATTTATTTAGTTAGTTAGTTCCATGACCTTTTTAGTGCACAGTCCCCATTGCTTCCTTGGGAACAGAATGAAGGATCTGCGAGCAATGAGTATGTTTTAAAGGGAACTGAGTGTTTTATTTGGGCTATAGCTGAAAGCAGATGATATCTTGAACTGCTTTAACAACACACGAGCATCCTGCTTGTGAAATGCTTTCCATTTGTGGGGCTGTACTACTGCCAGCTTGGTGGAAGAGCGGAGGTGAAGCAGAGCTGTGCACAGGCTCTGGCCTGGCAGGAGGACAACATAACGTGTCTGTGCTGTGGTTCTCTGCAGGCTCCGACCACATCCGTGAGAAGGATGGGCTCTGGGCAGTCCTGGCCTGGCTGTCCATCCTGGCTGCCCGCAAGCAGAGTGTGGAGGACATCATGAAGGATCACTGGCATAAGTATGGCAGGAACTTCTTCACCAGGTGAGGAAGTGCTCCAGGCACAGTATGCTTCTTTAGTTTACGTCTTACAAATTATTTTGTAATATCTTGAGTGATGACTTTGCCTCACTGAAGGGGCACCCAGCTCCTAGGCAATTATTTACCTGGTTGAATTTCTGTCCAGTTCCAAAATACTCTTACTTTAAACTACTATAGACACAGGAGATGAAAAAGGAGAACTGACCTGCACATGAGCAGAAGAGGGGATGCTATGTGGAGTGAGAGTATTAGGGTAGAGATCTTTCACTTTGGAAGACCTACATGAAATTTCTGTCTTCAATTGCTGAATGTAAGAACTTTTTTTTTTTTTCCATACCACAAAGCCAGCATACATCTAAGGCATTTAAAGCTGTGGAAGAAGTGCCAAAATCTAGTATAAAAAGATAGTCTGCAAGCACCAGAGAGATGTCTGCTTAGAAAGCTAGGTGGAGGGGGAGGCAGCTAGCAAGCCTGTGCATGCTCTGTCTGGCTAGCTGGGCAAGTAAAAGCAGTGCAAATCACACTGGCAATCAGAGTGGAGTCTCGGGTCCTGATCTGTGCGCACATTGGAGCTGCTGCACTTTCTGCTTCTCTTACTTACATTAGCTAGATCAAAGCTGGCACTGGGTGTTATCATGTGTTGGGATCACACCTTTGCTTTGCTGTGGGGACACACTGAGGTGCTCAGGCAGATCTGTTATCACGAGGAGCCTGTTGAGATCCTATCAGAATAAATGCTTTGCAGTCAGTGTTGTTGGAGTCTGGCCCTGCATCTGTCTCAATTTTAGATGTATCTGAGGTAGGTTGCTGTGTATCCCACAGACTTGTGTTGCGCTCATACACTGCTGCATGTACCCTCTCCTTTCTTCTGGTCCTTGTCTCTGGTATGAGTAGAAAACATGGGGCTGATCACAGCGTTGTTAAACAAGGACATTGCAGAACACTGCTGCTAATTACACACCTTCCTAATCTTTGTTTCTGCTGTTGTAGATACGACTATGAGGAGGTGGATGCAGATGCAGCTGGTAAAATGATGAAGGATTTGGAGGCTGTGATGTTTGACCGCTCCTTTGTGGGGAAGCAGTTATCAGCTGGTGACAAAGTCTACACGGTTGAGAAAGCTGATAACTTTGAGTACCACGATCCCGTGGATGGAAGCGTCTCCAGAAACCAGGTGGGCACAGTGCTGCCTGGGGTGGCCGTGGCCTCTGAGAGATGAGTGCTGAATATGGGGCATCTTTGTTCACTGCATCTGGCCCTTTCTCTGAAGTCAAGGAGTGCATCTGACCCTTGGAAAAGGTTTTTCTCCCCTGCTTTGGCCAGCGGGATCTTGGCCTTTGTGAAGGGATGGGGAGGGGATGCTAGGAGAGGGAAGGCTGCTGGGAGCAGGGCCAGGCTGGGTACCTCAGACCGTGCCTGGGTGCCCGAGGGGCACGTGGCTGAGCAGCTCTGCTCCTCTCTCCCCAGGGCTTGCGGCTCATCTTCTCCGATGGCTCTCGCATCATCTTCCGGCTGAGCGGCACCGGCAGCGCTGGAGCAACCGTGCGGCTCTACATCGACAGCTATGAGAAGGATGCTAAGAAGATCCACCAAGACCCACAGGTAGGTGTTAAATCTGAGGCATGGCACCGTTAATTCGCAGCCTTACTGAAAAGCATGGATCTTTGCTTAGTACTGCTTTGCTTAGAGCCGTGCGCTGGGTGTTTTGGAAGGAAGGGCTTTGATATCTTCAATCCCAGTGTAAATAGCTTTTAAAAAAGCTCTGTGTGGAACAAGCATTACTTATTCAGAATCTCTCACAGCTGCTTTTGCAGTCACGCATTAGTTTTCCTGTTTACGTTACATCTGCGGCTGATTCCAGGTGTGGAAGGACGCTTTCCAACCTGAACTGACCTTCTGGGCAAAACGTTGCTTCACTAGGGATAGGACGAGCTCATTTCTGTGCATCACCTAATACTGAAAGAATCCTCGTTTTCTATCCCCAGCAAATAGAACTCTTTGTGCACGGCTTGCTGTTTTTGACAAAGACATAAAGAATGTGGGAGGTGGAGGCGATGCGCGCAGGCTGCGCGTGGTGCTCTGCCCCGGTCCTGAGCCATCTCTCCCCTCTTGCAGGTCATGCTGGCTCCTCTCATTTCTATTGCACTGAAACTCTCACAGCTTCATGAAAGAACCGGCCGCACCGGTCCCACTGTTATAACATAAAGCCTCATCCTGGCACCAAGGGAAAGAAGCCAGCCCGTCGCCTCTTTTATTGTCGGGTCTGTCGCTATAAAAGGAATATTAATTTTATCTGTGTATTTAAGAACACTGCCCGCTACAGATAGACAATAAAAACCAGCTCCTGTCAACACTTTGTGTGCACACTGCTGTGCTGCTTTTCTGCGTCACACAGCACTGCTGGCACTTCAATATGGTGCTCGTTAGCTCAGCCTGTTGGGTTAGCATATGTACTTCTTTTTCCTTTGCTTAAACAAAAGGCTCTAGAAATAACAAAGAACCCAACTCCCTGAATTACTGATGAATGTATTCTCTCTCTTGGACACTTTCCTGGAAAAGAAGCGCACTTTACCCTTGTTAATATGTTGTCTTTAAAATTTGATGTCTCTCAGTAAGCAATGGACATGCATTAATACTGAGTATTTTTCACTCACGTGGATTTTTTCCCTTTCCAAACAAATTATGTACATTGCTCTCTATTTGCCTTGCTATCTGTATAAGAAAAAAACCACAACACAACCTCCTCAAGAAATAAGCAGTAACAGTCATTGCAGGATATTAAAGTGGTATGAGCTACAATTACTGTTCAGCATTCTTTATTTTCTTGCACCGTGATCTTTTGAAGACCAAAGGACTGTTTTGATGAGGTTGTTTGGTAGAATGGCAAGATCCTTGGAATGATCACAGTTGTGTGCATTGATGTGCTAAGTCTTTTCCAAGGGCATGGAGGAGGTGACTTTGGAAACAGCTGTAGCTGCTGAGTGTCAGTGCAGCTCCCTGCCCTCGTGCTGGGGCTGTCCTCTCCATGCTGAGCTGGGTCCTGCTCCCATCCTGGCCTGCTGCCATTGTGCTGGGGAGGATTGAGGTGTGCTTGTGTTGCCCTCAGCCACCAGCATAATGCCCTCCAGCACAGGGCATTGAGCAGGTAAACCCAGCTCAATCTCCCCTTTCTTGAGGCTGTTAAATGATGTTAATAGAAGTAGTTGCATCGGTGGGAGTGGTGTTAGGGGGTTTTCCCTCTTTTGCTTTGTGTGCCTTTGTCACCCAAGCCCTGGCTGGACTGCACGGTGCAGGGAACGCTGCCCACACAGCTGAAATTCAGGCTGGGTCCCTGGGCAGGCCTGAGGGAATGGCTCTGTTTTCCAGGAATGTGAAGCATCCCACCTTTGCCCTCTGCGCAAATGCTGCCAGCAAAACTTCTGAAGTTGATGCAGATGTGCTGACAAAAAGCTCTTTATCTCGTCTTCTGTACAGAGGTGAGGTGTCTCTTCTGACAAACAGACCTTCTGCTAAATCCATGCTGGCAGCTTTGCTGGCAGAGCTGTTTTCATGGAATCACGGACTGGTTTGGGTTGGAAGGGACCTTAAAGCCCACCCAGTTCCAACCTCTGCCATGGGGCCAAGAGGCTTGCCCAGGGCCCCATCCAGCCTGGCCTCCACGGAAGGGGGGGGTGCCATCTGTTTTGAGTCAGGACAAGTTAAAACCTAAGCCTCCCCAGCCTTGCTGCTGCTCATGGTGTGCCTGAGCCCTGCTGCTGGAGCTCTGGTCCTCAGCAGCTGTGTGCTGGTGGGAATGCCTGTCACTTAATGAAGCACAAGGAAAGAAATGCTGTGGCTTTTGCATTCAGAGAAGAAAAGGAAAAAACACTGGATTGGACCTGATCTGTGTGTGAAAGGGAAGTTCAGTGTGGTCCAGCCCACGCTCATTGCTTGTACCCTCATGCACAGAAAGGTGTCAGAGGGGGGCCTGTGCAATCCAGGCTGAGTCCAAGGTATGAGCATGGTGCTGTTTGGGACTTTGATCCCCTCTGTCAGAAAGGATGCCTGGCTGGGTCTGGAGAGGAAATGCCCTTCGTTTGGCAGTCACTGCCTTGAGCCTTCTCTGGGTGGCACTGGCCACATGTAACCCCCTGGAGTGCCTCCTGGGTCACTTCAGGCCAGCCCCCGCCAGGATGGCAGAGGAGCACAGGTGACACAGAACTGAAACCTGCTGTGTTTCACTCTGCTGTCACATCTCTGCTCCGTTGCCTTCCCCTAGTAGAGCGCACATGGGGCTTGTCTGCCCCTTTTTCTGTTCAAGCAAATTGCTGCTGGGAAATCTCCTTTTGAGCTATTTTCTAACATGTGTACTGGCAAATACTGATTTCACTCTTGTGATAGATGTCTTTCTTCCCTGAGAGCTGGGCTGTGTAAAAATGTCCCATGTCTGCAGCTGCCCTGTACTCTTCCCTTTTAATCTGCAGTGGAGGTTTGTCATTGTGTGAATGAAGCACTGGGTCTTTAATGAAGGATGCTGCTTCCACTCCACGTCAGGAATCATTAGTGCAGGCACTGCTGGGACTTGTTGCTAAAGGAATGGGTTTGCCAGTGCCCAAATTAATCCAGGAGTTGCCTGGCTTCTGAGCACTCAAAGCCTAAATCTACTTGACAGCTTCTGGAGGGACAAATATGGTGTGGAAATATTTGATCTCTCAGCCAGCTAGTAACTTGAAAACAATGTAAATCAGTGATTATAAAATGCTCTGTGAGACAAAAGGAGAATTTACATTTGCGTCGTAGAGCTTCAGTCCAGCGTGACTCTCAAAACAAGCTGCAGTTGCAGATAATGCATTTGTACTTTGTGTGGACATCTTCACCTCTCAGAGCCCATTGGAAGCTGGGTCACGTCCTCCTGGTGGCACAGACTGGGGTGACCCGGTGCTGTGTGCACTGCTGACACAGAGAGGCTGGTGTGCAATCTGGGGGGAGCAGTGGAGCAGTATTATCTGTGCCACGTGTGCTCCTCCCGACACAGCCACGTTCTGGGCAAGTGAATGAAAGCCCATTCCTTGGGGCTTTGGCAGTGTGTAACATCTCCAGGGCCAGGCACAAAGCTTCCTGTGCTCTCACAGCTTTGCCGTGGCGGTTGCTCCTTCCCCTAAAGCAGAGCACGTTGCCCCACCGGCTCGCTGAGCAGCACGCAGCTCTCAGCCCAAGTGCCAGCAAGCTCACTGTGAGCACACAGCAAATGAAGGCCTATTGCTAGGATAACTCACTTAGCTCCAAGGGAGACCCTCACCTGAAGCTACCAGGTTTCGTTATTCATCATTTTCTCTGGAAGTTCACTTTTGCCCTGGGGCTGCATTACGGTGCGTTGCTTCCAAGGCTGTGGCTGCCTGCAGCAGCAGAGCAGTGTGCTCAGCCCATGCTGCTCTCACTGGGCAATGGAGGTGATTGCAGAGCCTCAGCCCCTCCGAGCTTCTGAGTATTTGCATGAAAAATTACCACTGCTCTCTTTGCTTCTCTTCAGGCTCAAGCTGTAGGCTGCTGTCCCAGAGGAGCCCAATCAGATCCAGATGTCTCACCAGTTGTATGTGTTTTTTAATCTTTATCCCAACTTCACATAAGGCAGTATCTGATTTCTACATGCAGTCTCCACCACCCAGAAACGAAAATACATCTCAAGCAAAAAGCAAGACATTCAAGGAGTGGAAGTCCTCCCAGGAGTGGAAAGAAGCACCAGATCTCAGGTTTCTTGTCTCAGCCTCGGAGCCAGAAGCTGGGTGCAGCGGTGGCAGGGTCACTCTGGCACTTGGGATGATGGTTTGTTCTGCTGGGATTGGTGAACGGCGATCCCACCACCTCTCTGGGCACCTTGTGCCAGTGCCTCGCTGCCCCTGTAACAAAAAAAATTGGATCTGGGAAGATTGGGGCCAGCAAACCTGAGCTGGGGCTGGGGAGGAGCAGGGCCATGTGGGTGAGGAGGAGGAAGGTGAGTTAACAGCAAGGCTCAGGAGCTGGTGCTGCGTGGAGGTGAGGGGCACAGGATGATGTATGGACACCAGAAGGAGTTCAAGTTTCAGAGCAATGATTGGTGGTGCAGGGTGACAGCCAGACGTGCTGTGTGTTGGTGTGCAGCTCCCTGCAAAGGGCTCCTTGAGTCACTCCTGTGAACCTCCTGCGCCTACAGCGGAAAGAAAAGTCAGAAACGATGCTTTTTGGAGGGAATGAATGGGCAAAGAGAGGCAGTGCTGTGTCGCAGTGAAGCTGCAGAGCTCTGTACCATTCCACTCTGTGTTTGTGCACTGCTCCTTGGAGAATGGGAAAGCTGGAGGGGAGCGGAGGAGTTTAGGAAGTTCACAAGCAGAGCGTTTGTGTTGTTTCTGGCATGGAATTACCGGCTGTGAGCGTCTCTTCGTGGTGCCATCCACCTCCCACAGCCACAACCCACCCCACTGCTCCCATTAAGGGTGGCTTAGTAGGTTCCCGGCACAGCAAGGCTTGGGCTGTGGGTTGGGCCACAAGCAAGGTGCAGCCGGAGCCAGAACGAAGCTGATCAGTGTGGGATGGAGTGCTGGAGGCAGCTGCTGCTGAAATGAGGCACAGTGCTCTGCCTGCTGCTCAGGGCCACGTGGGATCCCCACAGAGAGCCGCTGTCCTCAGCTTTGTGCACAGATGTGAGCAGTCACTGGTGTCCCCTCTCTGGGCAGAACACGCCGCTGACGTCTGGTTGTGGCTGCGCTAATGCTGTGCGTTAGTCCTGAAAGAGAAAGGGGAAAGAGAGAAAAGGGTTTGTGTCTTCTCCTGACTATGCAAAACCGAATGAAACAGGAGACAGAGGCTACAAATCCACCCTGTCCCAGTGCAGCCCAAAGATAAAAGCGTTAAAATGCTCTGTAATTAGAGCCAGCCTCAAAGAAGACTTTCTATGACGGCAGTAGGTCAGATGCTCAGCTCTTACACCCTATGGCACAGAATGAAAGAATGCAATTTTTCAGCGGTGCTAGAGTTCTCATTTGGCTCAGCAGCAGCTCAGAGGTATTTTTCCTTTTGTAAGAAATAGGAACTGATTGTGAGATTCCGACTGCTTGGGTGGCACAGGAATTATATATATATTTAAATGATGGTCTCTTCTGGCTCCTACACCTTTCAACATAAGCACTGCCTTTTACAAAGAAACAAGGCAAAGTGAAAGCATCAGTTATATGCAGCATAGGCTCAAGCAGTTGATTAGTACGTGTTACTCTGAAAGTTACATCAGAGTTTGTAAGGTTGCTAAATGGCCCCCCAGGCCCTGCTGGGTTTAGCCAGGAGCACATGAGCTCCTACCAGACTGCAGAGGCGAGTGTTCCCTGTGCAGGTCAGCGCTCAGCTTTGAGCATCCTGCTGATTAAACTTGCTTTCGTGGAGACAGAGGCTCTGGGTTATATGGAGAGTAGAAAAGTCACAGGGCTTAGCTTAAGGGCTGATTTCTAATCTGGGATGACAGCATTCACAGCCTGTGCTATAACCACCTATTCAAGCTTATTTTTGACATTCTGCTTTTTCAGTGTTCAAACTGAAAACTCAGTTACCAGCGATCCCCAAACGCTTCTGAAATCAAGAGCTGAACTCCTGAATGGGCAGCACGTGGCTGTCACCTCCTGCACCTCGCTGCTCAGAGCTCTGCAGCCTGATCTCCTGAAGCCCTGGGCAGCCACCCCACCTCTCTGCACCTCTTCTAGGTGACACTGGGGCTGTGGCACTGAGGGATGTGGTCAGCGGGCATGGAGCAGGTGGGGTGTGGATTGGGGAGCTTACAGGAGCACAACACTGCTCGGCATCACTGGTGGTGTTTGCAGCTTTAAAAACATGGTTTCAAGACTTGAATTCAGGGATGAGGCAGAAAGAAACGTGGCAGAACACAGACAGAGCCACCTGGGTTGATGTTTGGGGAATGTCACAGTGCATGAGGGAGTTAGGGTAGGGGTTAGACTTATTAGGCTTTGCGTTTGGGTTAGAGTGAGCTCGGCCTTGGGTTTGAGTTAGGGTTGGGTTCATAACTTGCTCTGTTGGTAGTAATGTGATGCCAGACACGAGCTGCCAGCTTTTAGCTGTGTGTGTGATATTAAAGTCTGTGTGTAACGAGAGCCCGAGGACAGCCCCAAACTGTGTTCTGCTCCTGCCCAACTGTGGGTGCAGGGAACACGCTGCTGGTCCTGGGATGTAGAGCGGGGGAGCCCAGAGCTGCAGGGCATGCACAATTTGGCAGGCTGGCTTGTGCAATCAGGGCAGTGCTCTTAAAGCAAAGTTGTCTGTAATTTCAAGATTAAATTTCTGATTTGTGTGCTTGTTACTTCGAATGGAAGAAGCTTACTGTAAATTGAAGCAGTTTACTGTATTGCAAAGCAATACGTGGGCAGGGCTGTTGATTAGTGCCCAGCTCCCAGTAACAGGTGGGACAGCAGAGCTTCTGGCACCACCTCAAGCATTCACTGCTGAAAACATTTAGGTCAGCACTGGCAATGTAAGATTTTGTTCTTCTGCTTTCACAAACAAATGAAAAAAAAAAAAAAAGTAACAAGAAGAGATGGAATGGATCCATGCAAATTAAAAAGCAGCAGAAACGGAACTGGGCATTCACAGTTTCAAGTACTGGTAAGCTCTCTATCATAGAGGGAATCAAAGGCAATTTTTAAGCAGCTATTGTGTGTTCTGCTTTGAACTGATTGTTGTTAGTGTCTCATTAAAAGCAGCTGAGCTGCATTATTCAATTTTCCATACTGGCCTGGAAGCCCACAGAGTGGCTGACTGCTCCGATGGGTGGCTGTTAAACTCCTTCTGTGGCAGAAAGAAGGAACAGAATAAATAATAGGCAACTGATTTTTTCTGCCTTGGCCAGGTGAGCCAATGCTGAAGAGCACATAACCCCAGGGTATTGCATAGGAGTTGCTTTTCTGATGCAGGGAGGTGCTGGAGATTCCTCCCACCATGCACTGATTCCTGCACAGTGGTGCACTGTGATTTTGTAGCTCAGTGTCACTGGATCTTTTGTCCACCTTAACTTCTAGACTTTCTTTCCATCTGTCTTTTTTTCCCTCCTTTGTATCCAACTTCTTTTTTTCCTTCTCCTTCAGTTTCCCAACGTTCCATCGTCTCCATGCATAATATTTTTTCCCTTCTCGTTTTTCCCTTCTGGGTTTTTCTCTTTTGTGGTACAGGAGCACAGACTTCAAGATCAGTATCTCCCTTCACCATCTGCACCTTTCCATTTGCCTGTGTTTTCAGCATCAACTGAAATTCCCTTTGTATGGCTCCAGCTCGTGTGATTGAGGAGTTGCTGTACGATCAGGTAAGCTTGCAGACACAGCTGGTTTTATAACATCCTCCATAGTGCCCACAGAAGCAGAGCCCAGCAGCAACTCCCACCAGGAGTTTGGGCCATACAACCCGAGCAGTGTGGGTTTGTCCTGTTAAAAGATGTTGTAATACGTATGGATAACTTGAAGCAAAGAATACCTTCCATAGCAACTGCAGTGTTTGTAGCAGCAATAGCATATGGGAATGCCTCAGCGCTGCACTTCACTGATTGTCTGTACGGACATGCTGCAAGGAGCTGAAGTAATGAAGCACTGCCTGGAAAAAATATATGCAAAGCCAAATTTTTACAACTAGTGTAAGCAACTTCTAAATGAAAACCTCTGAGAATCAAAAGGAAAGAGCTTGTCAGGCACTGCTAGCCCAAGCAGCATGCGCTAAGCCACGTCTTGTCGGGTTGTATGGCAGCCCTGCGCCCTGCGGGTGTGCAGCACCCCCACAGCAGCAGCTCGGCACTCACCCCGCTCAGAACACAGACAAAAACTCTGCATGGGGACAGCCAGGCACTGCTGGGCAACCAGGAATGTTTAGTCCAGAAGGAGAAGCAAGGGGGTTTCTCTGTGCTATGTCCCAGGTCTCGTTCCCTGAGCTCCAGCACTCCTGCCTGCTGCACAGAGCAGCGAGACCAACGCAAACCCCAGAGATCTTCTTAAAAGTTAATCTTGTTGTGGGATTAAATACTACAGAGCAGCATGTGAAAACATAAGAAACAAGTTTTCAAGAACAAGCTTTCTTTATTTTGACGCCCTTCATTTTTTTCCCAGTAATAAAGTTTGGCATGATTTTAAATCCAGGTCACGAGAGACCTTGAGCGGTCACCAAAGGCAGTGGTGGGATGCTGAAACCAGAGAGGAGGTGACTGGCAGTGGTAGGAGACAGACAGGATGCTGGGGAGGAAGCACCTTTTGAGAGCATTTTCTCAGCAGTAAGAGATTTGCAAAGGGTGGGGATTGTGGTAGAGTTATCTGGAAAACATCTCTAATTCTTATACATATAAAGCCCCGTGGATTTTTAGTTCTGTATAACACGTAGAAACTAATACAAATGTAAAGCATGTTTTAATGGACGTCTTTTAGCATAAGTAATACTCAAGAAATATAACAAAACACAAAGTATTGAGTTACTTCCCAGAGTCCCATTGTTTTTATTCCACGTACAAAGAAACGAATGAGCCCTGAAGCAGTTTGAGAGGTAAAGGTCAAATATTGGGTATGTATTCAGCATTTTCAAACTAAGAAACTGTGGAGCTCTGCAGTCCCTTGTACACAAAGAGCTTGTCAGCACGAGTTGCTGAGAGTGCTGGGAGATCAGTGCTGGCAGCCCGGAGGAGACGAGCAGGAAGGGTTTGAGCTGAAAAGCACAAAGAAGAAAAGAGTTAATCGTGGTCTGTAAAACCAACGTTTCTTGTATTTGCTCCTTTGGCATCGCAGTGCCACTCCAGAACAGGGGCCAACTGTTAACAGAGGCAAAGCCAACTTCATCCTTTGCAGGCTGACGAATGGTCATGTAAGTTACCAAATAACCCAAGACCTCAGGATTAAACTTCTCCAATTGTTTTCACATGATGCAACTTTAAATCTCTCTTTTGAACAGTATTAAATTTCCTTTCATTCCCATAAACTTCAGAAAAAGTTGACTGCTCTCACATTTCAGACTGTGACCCAGCTAACTTGCACTTTTCCCCTCTGCTAGTCTGGAGAACTGAATAATGAAATTCAGACAACGGTGACCAAATGTTGCTCTGTGGAACTTTCCTTTTACAAAACAGATGAATGCTCCTGGGCTCCAAAACACTGCAGGGAACAAAACTTTCAAACCTTTATGGAAATAAAATAGTAAGCCTATGCAGTGACTTCATCTCCTTTATCAGATCAGAGACGTTTTCGCTGGAATCGAAACGGATTAGAAAAAACCCTCTAAGTAGAGGAAAAGAATTAAAATATCCCACTGAAGCCATTACTGAAATGCTGCTTTATTTCAGAAAACACACCCACGTGAGTGAACGCTGAGTTTCACAGAGGAGAAGAACTGCCACATCATCATCGTTCACAGAATTCACGTTGCAGATAGCAGGGTGCTGCGGTCAGTCAGGAAAATAAGTATTTCAGTGTTTGTGATCAAAGGAAAAGATAAGGCCGTGTGCTGTGCGTTCTGATCCTGACAGAGGGCTGTAGAAAATGACCACGGCTATGTGAGGGCTGGGATTTCTCTCTGGAGGTGCTCTCAGATCTCCTGGAAACCCGAGCAAGTTTGTCCATCCAGCACCTCGCCAGATGAGGCCCTTTATTTATACAGTGAGAAATGCCCACTGCGCTGCGGATTTGTTGCTGTGTGAGTGGGACTGCAGTCATTTAAGCCCGTTGCAAATGAAGCCACTAGAGTCAAAATAAAAGGAGCCAAAATATATAAATCCAGCAGGCAAAGTTTATGGGGGAACTAAACCAAACATTCAACATGGAGATTTAGTGCGGCCAAACCCTCATAACTAACCAAGGTACCTGACATCATCTCGTGTCCTACGGGCACGGTCCCCATTTTAGTGGCCTGTTCCGCTCAGGCTGATATCAATAAAAGTTTTACATGCAAAATGAGTGGAAAATACGAGATGTTAGATAGTACAGTACAAGTCTATAAAGCCGATACCCCTGTCACGCTCCTGGCAACCCCAGCCAACTTCCATGCAAATTCCACCAATGGATCTTTGCTGATTTTGTCTTAATTGAAAGCCTTAAAGGTGAATTGAAACGTTGTTGGAATAAAAACCTGTTTAAGATGCCAAATCCCTAACAAAATCCCAGTGCAGGCTTACAAGTAAATAAATTGTAAAGGCAAATGTGCAGGCCTACTTATTAACCTGTCAAACCACGAATTCTGGAATCTGTTCTTCTCTTGCAAAATTTGTGACATTCTTCTCCCCCTAATGACTGGAGTATTTTACTGCTTTGCAGGCCTGGCAACAAAGATGACATTGTTTAGGAAGGTGGTGAAATCTGCCTTGCTCATGGTGATGACTGGGGGACCACTTCCCCATTAATTTATGTGGAGAATTGGGAGGCGCAGACCGGATGCCGTGGCCCTTTCCTGGCAGTGCTGCTCACTACACGTGGGGCTGCCCGTGAGGTTGTCTGATGTGGTGTGAAGTCGTGGTTGGAGGCAGCTGAGTGTGAGGGTGGTTCCGTTTTCCAAACTATTGCCTTAATGGCCTCCTTCCTGAATTCAGTTGTTGAGGACGAGGTCAAGTGATTCCTCTTGCAAAAAGCAAACAAGCTGTAAGAGAAATCGTGGGCCCTTTGACAGTAAGGGCCTTCACCTGACGTATTTTGCACAAGTGTAACGTGGTCATGCCCAAACTAAACTCGATCCATTACCTTCTTTTGGAGACTCACTTCTCAGAGTAATGAGGAAATCAGAGCTGAAACAATTGCAGTGCTTTCCTACTGAAAGATCCCTACAAAGCTCAGCAACTGCAGTGTAAATCACCAGCTGTGGGATTTGGAAGCATCACTGCTGCATGCTGCTCCTGTTGCCTGTCCTGCTCTGCACCTCGTCTGGTTGTTGAATTAATGCTTTGGAAGGGATACTGAATCTGATGAAACGCCGGGTGTCAGCATGCAGTCATGAAAATAATAACAGCATAAATAATGCATAATAAGCATCCCCATGTTTGCATGTGTTATTAAGAAGTCACTGGTGTTTGTGTCCCATTCTATCACCCTTGTTCTTCCAGAAGGGTAACATTACATGTTTCGGAGCTATGTAATTCAAGAATATAAAGAACAGAGTCCTTCTGCTATATATATAAAATTCCAACGTAGTGCACATATGAAAGGCAAAGAATTGTGGTCTGTTTCAAGGCTTTTGCCTTTATCTTTTCCATTGCCTGCTGCCAATTTTCAAAGTGCTCCCAGATCACAGCCCAAGCTAGATTATCTGAACAAGAGCTCAGCCTCCCGGTCCTCCCTGCTGCCACTCCGCAGGGATGCAGCCTGTCCTCTGAGCCCAGCAGTGCTCTCTCCCACTGCCACCCATGGCTCCCCAGTCCTTTGCTTTCCTCTTCAGGCAAAGACATTTCAGCTTGAGAAGAAAGCAGAGCGGTGCACACTGGCACCAGCACAACTACCTACTCCTTGGCTTTATTGGTCCCCAAACGAAGGGAGGCCCAGGAGGGGCTGTGCTTCCCCCCTCCTACAGTCACAATGAAATATGTCATTATTTGGACTGCACTCGCTCCAGAAAACTCAGCTGGGAAATGCAGGATGTGCTCACTGAGACAACGTCAGCACTGCTGTCTGACACAATTCCCACCCTAAAGAATTGTCAGCGTAAGCACAGAGATTTGCTCGTCTCCAGTACTCAGTAAGTACCTCCCATCGCTGTTTCCTACACCATTTAAAGATCAGTGGTGAACTCAGATTTAAAGGGGGACTTTCCGCGGGTGCGTGGATTTTAGGAATCTGTGCAGAGCCTGGCCTTGTCTTCAGCTTCCTCTCTAGAAGCCTCACTGGGCTCTGATTCTAGTTGCATTTCAAGTGGGCAGAGGATGATTGTTATGGCCTCGGTGGTTGAAATGAGAAAGATCTGGAATAGATTAATGAGAGATGGAAAGGAAAACAAGAACAAGACACAATACTTCGGAACACACACTGTCGATTCTCTCTCTTAGCTTGCTGTACTTCTGACACTTCTCTTAGAATATTTTGCTTATCATCCTCTTGTTAAGTTTATTGTACTTACAAATCATTCCCAGACAGCCAGCTCCTTAGATATCTTTTCATTAAGAAAAAAAAAAAAAAAGAATAAGAAGGTTTAGTGTGTAATACACTCTCCCTGCAGGAACCGATTCCTTAGTGACGCTGACTACAAGCCTCTCCTTGTTTTAAAACACACAGCCATGCATCAAGCAGCGGGCTCCTCTCCCCAGAGCCACCTCCTGAGCCTCTATCTGCGCATCGCATCTCTGCAGCATCCTGCAAA